TGTTCTTCTTCAGATACAAGTAAGAACCATTTGTACTACCTATGGTACACATAGTTTTCTTTCAGCTTCAAGGATATATTTTTGTGGTACTAGCGAACTGTCTTTCAAAAAGACCTGAAAAACATTAAATGGGTGAAGAAAGTGTAATTGCTCAGGTTACAGTTTTTTGTATTGCACAATGAAATACTTTTTACTCTTTCCGTTACTCAGAAAATGCATCATATTACAGTCTATTGAGGCTACCAGTGATTGTGAAATTGTATTTCTGTCTTTTCCACAGTGGAGTTTTCCCTGTATGACACAAGCAATGTAGAAAGCATCTTTGCTCTCTACAGCTGACAAAATCAGACCTTCACCACGGGGTTTTAATATAGATAGCTGAAAAGAAGTTTGATTAAATTAATTAAAATGGGAATAAAGATATAGAAACAAAAGGCTAACCACAAAATGGGCTTAGCAAAGCAAGCAAAATCACCAGTAAAATTTCTAACATTGTAACAGCATATAATGGAGGATTGCCATTGTCATTATGTAATCTGGATACTAAAACTAAATTTGACTGGCTGAAGAGCAGCCCTCAGATTTGACAACACGTTAACTCATCACTCTGTGCAAGGTAGCCTCCAGCATTTAGTAGATATACCGAGGCAGAAGTTTGGCAATGTATAACTTGTACTGCATATTCATGAGACCACAACAGTTATCCATCTCTCAGTTGTGACTAATATTGTCCATTTGTAGGTCAATAGCAAGCAGACGGTTCTTCTTCCTCATTGGCACCCTGTACTTGTATCGCTGTGTCACTATGTACATCACCACCCTGCCTGTACCTGGCATGCATATGACCTGTGCTCCTAAGGTGAGTAGTTGGATGCAAACATCAGAGCGGGTATCAACTGCCATTGCTCAGCCGTGCACTCTTGTGCACCCTCTGGGACTCATTTTGCACAGCCACGCAAGAAAGGCAGCTATAAAAAAGCCATTTTGACTTTTTACTGTCTCAGGACACCAACGATATTAAGGTGCATCAGTGTTTGATCAAAGACATGTGCTTCTGGCAGTTTGCCAAGGTCAGACAGTTTAGTAGTTGTTTTGTTCCCAAGAAGTGTTTTGAACAGCGTATGAAGGCCTTTAGCTACTAGTAAGAAGTGAGTTATCCTCAGCAATTTGAGCAACAAGCACAAGACTATCTAATTTATACTGCCTTTAGATCTTCTTCATTTTCACTACATGTTCAATTATTGTCAATTACCAGAGCAAATTATGTTGCCTAGATTTGAAAAATCTGAAAACTTAAGGAATGGTTTGACTTTTGGGGTCATGCGCTTATTCGTTTTTTACTGAGAATTAGATGAGAAGATCAATATCACTCTTGTGTCTGTATGATAAATATGAAGCTACAGCCAGCTAGTCTAACTATTAGGGTTTCTATTTAATCATTTATCAAGCAAAAAGGCCAAACATTCTCTTATTTCAGAGAATCATTCTCAAGATTTGCTGCTTTTCTTTGATTTACATCACTGTAAATGTTATATCCTTTACTTTTGAACTGTCAGACAGACAAAACAAGCAATTTGAACATGTTATGTTGAACTCTGGGAACTTGGGATGTATATTTCTTTACTTTTTTGTGGCATTTTGTAGTAAATGATTGAATAATTGAGAATAATGAATAATTAATTATTCCACAAATAACTGATAATGAAAATAATCATTGGTTGCAGCCTTAATGTTGCTGCTGATCCAGGGTTTATCTCTTTCTCCCTTTTTATGTCCACTTCCTGTTCTTTTTCAGCTCCATGGAGATTCTCAGGCAAAAATCCAGAGAATTCTGCGACTGGTCTCAGGTGGGGGTCTGTCCATTACAAGCTCCCATCTCTTGTGTGGAGACTTCCTCTACAGTGGGCATACTGTGATGCTCACTCTCACCTACCTGTTCATCAAGGAGTGTGAGTACTCAAAGCAGCACTTGTTTGTTGTGTGCTTGTATGGAATAATTTATTAAAATATTTATATGAATAATATATGAACACATGGACCTTCTAGGCACTAATAGGATATAAATACGGTACGTTCTGTGTGTTGCCACATTACACTTTCTCTTTTAACATTCAAATGATTTGTATTATTTGTTTCCAGATGGATTGTATATATTCTGTATAATATGTATGTTCCTGGATATGCACTCATTTGTCAGTTTATGAGGTACATCAAACCAAAGCTATACAGTCGAATGCAGCAGCCCTGCAATAAATTGTAACTTATACTCATAATGACAGTTATGATGTTTAGTTTTAATTTAAACTGTTTTAGAGAGGTGTTAATATCATCAAAATGGTCATCTAGAAGATTGTATTTTCTGGTGCTGTTGAAATATGTTGTGTTTTGATGAGAAGTGTCTTCAAAGTTTTGTGCAGCACCTATAAAGTATTGTTAAGGGTAGAAAAATATTTAAAACACTCTCAGTATAATGTAATACAATTCAAATTAAATTTCATTACATTTATTCCTTTAGCTGACACCTTTATCCAAAGCAACTTACAATTGCTATATATGTCAGAGGTCGCACGCATCTGGAGCAACTAGGGGTTAAGTATCTTGCTCAGGGACACATTGGTGGACACACCAAAGGCATGGGTCTTGTCTACTGCGCCATTACCACCCCTGCAGCCACCTGAATGACCATGATTCAAATTCCAAATCATCTCTCTAAAACAGTTTCAACACAATTTGAATGTTATAACTTTCATAAAGGGATCTTTTTGCACAGCTTTTGCATTAGACTGCATTAGTTTTGGCTTGGCATAACTAATAAATTGGCAGTTGAGTGCATGCTGGGAATGTGATACATGGTAAAGTACATACAGTATAAAAAAGTTTTCTGAAAATGCAAAAATATTTGTGAGGTTGAGTTATTACATTCAGTGATTAAGTTGTTTTAAGTTTCCCCTATGACTGTGTTTGTCTGTGTGTTGCAGAAAATCCCTATGTTCTTGCCACACTGCTCTGAAATACTACAGACTTACTACTTAATACAGAAAGTGCAAACATGGATGAACAGACCACAAATGGATTGTCATAAATATTCACAACACTCTTTTCTTTCCTTCCCTAAGACTCACCGCGGTCATTTTGGTGGTACCATCTGATGTGCTGGGTGCTGAGTGCTGTGGGCGTGGTGTGCATCTTGGTGGCACATGAGCACTACAGTGTAGATGGTTGTGGCCTATTTTATCACCTCCCGTCTGTTCTGGTGGTACCACACCATGGCCAACTTACAGGTCAGAACACAGAGCTGAACACTGGGTGGCTGTTTGTGTTTGTGTTGGAGTGCAAAAAAGTAAAAAAAAAAAAAAAAAGAGCTTTCCCTCTCATTGCACATCAATGAATGAGTTACACATTAATCTGGGCTGGCCTTTACTGTCTGTCTGTCAGTATTTGTTGTTTACCTCAAGAGTACCAGTTAAAGATTACATGCCAACACAAGAATTTATTGCGTTTTTTAAAGGAAATGGTTGGTATATTACATGTAATTATATATTTATAGTAAGTACAAAGTAGTATATCTTTAGACTGTGTGTCAAAAGTCTCTGGATGTCATTCCCTCAGTCAGTATATGGCTTTCAACATGGTGAATTACCCCCTCTACTGGTCAAAAAAATAGACAGACAGTTGAGATGGAGTGGTGCCAAGCAAAATTATGTATGGCACAGTTAACATGGATAACACATTGAATTTTTTTTTTAAATAATTAAATATCACAACCTTGTCCACTGAGTGCAAATAAGATTTTTTGTCCTCTATTCTTCTACAATTATTTACTCAATTAAAGGAGATGGTTCTGTAATATCTACAATTTGCATATTGACTCCACTATAAAAGAGAAATTCAAAAATGCCTAATGTCTACTTAAATAAATGCACTGTTTACTGATTATATACTGTTTGTCTGTTCATGTGCTGTTCAGGGAGTGTTATAGGATAGGCTCACAATTTATTAAGTCTGTCTTTAAACAGTTGTCAGGTGCACATATACACATTGCTGTTTATTCTGTCTTTGAAGACACCCATTCTTAATGCATTTCCAATGTAGATGCAAAAATACATTTCATTTTTTTATGTAAAGCTAATATGGGGCTTCAGCAGACTTCCCTCTTTGTATTTCTATCACTCTGGCTGAGCATGGAAACACTGGTGAAACAAATAGAGGGAATTCTGTACTAAAAAGGCAAATTTTGGCAAATACCCACTGATATCCATGATGATTTGCCTGCTGAAGCCTCATTTTAATTAAGATGTGTGGATTTTGTCCCCTATCTCCTCTATTGGAAGCTTGCTAGGAAGGGACCTTTTGATGGCAGGTATGAACAGTAGGAAAGACAACAGCAAGCAGAAACTGTTGCAATGTACTGCACATATGG